AAATGTCATCTGTGTGCCCGCCAATTGGGTGTGGGGGGGCGTGTTCGTATCATGTTAATGCCCGCGCCAATGGACAAGGAAGGCTGATCGTATGGGTTAGTCTTTTTTTTGCATGTGAAGATTTGCGCCCTGTCTTTCGCGCTCGCTTGGGCGAGGCTACTACAGAGCAATTTCGCGGGGGTTCGTCCCGTACAGTAGTGCACAACCTTTTTTTTTACATGCACAGGTGGGGAAGAGATAAAATAGCGGTCATTTCGTTTTGTCAAACACGAGATCTGCAGGCGTATTGAAATGGGGTTGGATATGTTTAGCAGCAGTCGTGCCTGGAGCAGAGCCTGGTCACCGGCGAGCAGGGAGTCTCTGGCTTGTGGTGACGTTTTTTTCTTTTCTTTTCTCTGGTGTGGGCAAAAGGGGCGGGCAAGGGAAGATACTGGAAATTTCAGCCTTTTCACGGGGCGGGTGACGGGGGGGGGAGGGAGACGTCGTAAAGCAGACGGGTCGATTTGTCGCTGCTGCCAATACAGGTGGCGCGGACGTTGACCTCTACAAGTTGTTGTCTTTCTCTTTTTGATCATTTTGTTCGTGTTTAACCTTCGGTATGCAGATGTATTGAGGATGTATGAGCTCCGATTCGATTCTTTTTTTGTTTTGACGATGTTCATAATCTCATTGCATGAGCTGTATCTGCCTGAATGAAAACGGCGAGAAGAAGTCCAACGTCGCATCTCGCAGAGGGCGTTCTAGGAGATTTTACAGGTGCATATTTTTTATGGAGTGGTCGTTGATTCGGCTGGACAGGAAGAGAGGGGGACGAATTAAATCCTGACTTCTATTCTTAAATTTTGATTTTCGAAGAACGCCTGTTTTCCTTTCCCGTCACCATGATCGTGACTGGACGGTGATCGCGATGAACAGACAAATTGACGGACGTGGGCCTTGACAAGACTTTTTTCTTTTTTCTTACTCACTCGCCTAGTCGCCAAAAAATTCATGTTCAGCGACAACTAGCTGTCTATCGTGGGTTCATGCCATTCGTTCTGGCGCCAGTCTACTACTCACAAGCTAGTACATGTTGGACGTATCAGCCGGAGGAGTCCAGGTTTTACACGCAGGGTGGCTTTTTTGCTCTCAAACATAAAACAATAAAACGCTTGCTTCCTGCGAGGAATGACGCGAGCGAGCTATGTGTTTGTTTTTTAGGCGGACGACTGCTGCTGCATGCTGTGGATAGATTCGCCTTCCTCCCGCTCAAACGAATGGCATCCACTCCGCCAGCATGCCACGCGCTGCTCTGTTGTTGAAACCGACACTTCTGACGAAGGGAGAGCGACGAGAGCTCCGTGGATTAATTCAGTCATCCTCGTTCCTCCTTCGACCTAGTGCAGTACTGTTTCTGTCGCGACAAATAAAAAGGCGGAGAAGTGAACGATTTTCACTCGGCTTTAGAGCCGGTAGTTTTTGGTTTACACCTTGCGTTGTCTACTCTGAAACCGACTCGCGTTGTGTTCTTCGATCAACGCTCTCGAGATTTCTTCATGCTCGAGTTACAGTACAGGGTGGACAAAAAGCGTAGCTGCTTGCAAGCGTGCGCTCTCATGCGAGTTTCCAAATGCCACAGTCTTGGTCGGGTCTGTATAGAAAACCAACTTCTACGTAATTTCTCCCTACTGTATCGCTCGTTGTGAGTGAACGCATGTAAGAGAGCACGGAACTGATGCTGCAGTTAATGTACCCACACAGGGACATGCGCAGCAGCTTCGACCACGAACGGCGCTGGCCAATCGTCCGAGCCAAGAATGTTTAGAATCTTCAGTGAGGCTGTCGTCGAGCGAGCTGACCACGTGCAAGCAAGGAAGGTGTCTTCCCATCGTTTCTTGTCACCAATCAATCTATCCTTCCGGACGATCGGAATCAGTAACACACCTTTTGCGACAAAAATTAAAAAAAATGATCGTTTTGGTTCGTTTGGGTCGATAAAATGAAACCAACCCCAACCATTTTTAGTACCCACGGACCACGGCAGGCAACAACAAGGCCCAAAGAGCACGGCCTTGAGGGTGCACGGGTTGTAGGACGTATGCACACGCATGCCGACGATTACCCTCGCCCGATTCTCCCGTGCTCAATCGCTTCACAACCGAGAGGACGTGGACAAACATCGGATCGGCGACAACTGCGCCTGCCTCCCGAATCTCTCGATGACAGGCAACACACAATACCATTTCTAACGCATGGAACGTAACCCCCAGGGTGTGTGTGCGTGCGCATGCGGCCGGCACGAGGTACCCCAACGAACACCGATCCTATTTGATGTCGACACAAACTGCACACACACACACACACACACACACCATCGCGGGGTCCCAGATCATGGCCTTTTTTTCCGTTTTCCACCGCACTGAGACTGACGTTTTCAATAGTCAGCCGGTTAAAGCGAGGTCGACGCCAGCCAACCACAAAGACACAAAACGCCCGCCTCAAAACTGTACGAACAGGGAGACTCACGACTACAGCACAGCCGTGTCCCCGGTCGGCACCAACGGCTCCAACAGACCACCGCCGCCCTCTCCGGCACCGTTGTGGTCGTGAAGGTCGCCACCGCCGGCGTCACGTCGCCCCGCCCGCCTAACCTCCCGGCCGAGCACGACGACGGTGGCCGCGACCGCGAGGCTGAGCTTGGCGACCACGGTCGCGGCGTCAGCCTCGTCGCCGAGGAGCCCCTCCAGCGCCAGGTCGAACGCCTCCTCCCACGCCCACCCCACCACCAGGCTGACCCCGCCCACGACAACGAGCAGACGTCTGGCGTGGTACGACCGGACCGCGGCGTCTCTTCGCCTCGTTTCCTCTCCGTCCTCTTCCGGCCGTTCGACGTGGAAGTAGCCGCCCCCGGGCCGTGAGCCTAACGCGCCGCCGACGCTGTCGTTGACAGCGCCGCCGGCGCCGTTTTTCCGCCTGTTGCTACCGGCCAACTTGTCCGCCCCGCGCACCATGACGCACACCCCGAGCGCGGTGCTCAGGGCCGCGTAGGCGGCGGCGCCCAGCGCCGGCCCGAAGCGGAACTCGAGCTCCTCCTGTCGGAACTCTACCTGCCCCCAAAGGTTGTACGCCCAGCCCACCTGCCCGTAAAACACGGCCATGCACGCACGCACGCACGCACGGACGCACGGACGGGCGGACGGAGGAACGAAGCCAGGGATTTGATCTCCTAGGAAATTTCAAGCAAGTCACCGAGGTCTTATGTTTGTTAAGCATTCGTTGAGCGGTTGCCTGACGATCAAGCAAGCGTACGATTTCTCGAAAGGGTGTGCTTTCAGTGGTAGGGTTGGCACCATCATGTTTCGCAACTTGAGTGAATAATATTAACAGATGTTTGGACTTGGGGGTAGGTAGCAGCACGTTTACGACCAACATTTGCTCCCTCATGTGGCAGAAAAATGTTTTCTTGACAATTCGCTAGTCTGGTCTTGATCGGTGACAGGCCCCTGTATCCTGATCCCGCGTGTGTCCATGTCACCCAGTAACATGTCTGTGTCTTTCCAAACAACGTTGGTCCCACCAACAGACTCCTCGATATCTACTAATGCTCGAGTAAAAACAGCAGTTAGAGTTTCGCGTGTTTTTTTGCGCTTTGTTCATACTCGCAACTCTCTTTTTGGCAGAGAAACCTTGCCTTCAGACCCTGGAGGTGTGGCAAGACAATATTTAGGTGAGATACCTCCTACCCCTCAGCAACTCATGTTGCAATTCGTTTGTTTTGTAAACGCGCTTGGGCACAATACAGCTGTTTCGACCAAAATCTGCCCCCGCGTAACCACCTCCAGGCAGTAGGTTGAACAGGGCGTCAAACAAGTCATTTCGTGCTTCGATCGACAGCTTGCTTGAACGTCAAAAATAGTTCGTGGACCCGTACAGTATTCCCCTGCAACCGCACTTTGGTGGTGGTATTCAGAAATGCGTCAAGTGTGTTTGTCGGAGGAAGCAAGACGCCGTCTCCAGAATGAAAGCAATGGCGGTTTATCAAAACTGTGACACATCCCACCCACCATCATCCCGACGGTGAGCCTCATGTAAGCTTTGAGCCCCCGTCGGAGGGAGTCTCGCCGGGCATCCTCGCCGCCTGCCGCTTCCTCCGCCTCCGCCTCCGCCGCCGCCGCCGCCGCCGCCGCCGCCAGTGGCGCCGCTCCGCGCTCACCCCCACCATCACCAACTTTGGTGCTGTTCGAAGGACCGACGTCGGCAACGTCGCCCCCGCCTTCTCGGTAGGAAGTGTTGCGCCCGCCGCCGCAAGACGGAGTCGACGACGCTTCGACGTCCCCTGCTGCTTCTGCCGATGCCGCCGCCGCTGCATCCGATGCCTGGGCCGCCGTGACCCCGTAAGACGAAATCGCGCGGATGACGAGGTCGCTCCTGCTGCCGGTGCTGCCGCCGCTGTTGCTCCTGGTCAGGCCGCCGCCGCCGCCGCCGCCGCCGCCGCCGCCGCCTACGGCGACCGCGGAAGCGGCCACCGTCCCACCGATCACGCGTGTGGCCAGCGCGGAGCAGAGGAGCGCGTACGCGAGGAGGAAGAGCGACGCCGCGAGGCGCACATCGACGACGTCGTCCTCCTCGCCGTCGCCGCCCCGACCGCCCTGGCCCCCGGCCGTCCGGTAGAAAAAGCCGTACAGGCCGATGTGAACGCCCTGGGTGACGAGCCAGGACGTGGGGAGAGCGAACGAGCCCGCGTCGAACTGGTTCGCGGTCTCCTCGAAGCCGACCGGCCAGTCGAGGAGGCTGCGCGCGAGGGAGCCGAGCTCCATCGCCCCCAGGCTCGCCGCGAACGCCAGCGCGGCGTACACGAGCGTAGTCTTGGCTCTTACCTCGAACACCTGCGCGCTCGAGAACGGGTTTGGGAGGGAACCAACGATAAGAAAGGCAAGTTTCAACTTGCGACGGGGAGCGTTTTGTATGTAAAAAAAAGAAAAAATGGAAGAAAAAGGACACGAATAAGTTAAGACTTGCGAGGCACCGCAGGTCCGACAGTATCCACGTTTCCCTGCCCTACCAGAAGCAGTTCTCGCTCGTGAAGTTCGTCGCCGGAAAAAAGCTCCACACTATTTGCAGCACCGTACACACGCATAACCGGTCAAGCCAACCCAAACATCGCCCAGGGAAGTAATGCCGACTCAGCAGCCTTAACGCGCACCCAAGGTAGTGAAAGCAACACATTGATCGAGAGAAATCACAGCAACACACGAGACAGCATGCTATTCTCCGTCATCGGCTTTGAGGTTGCGGGTGGGGGTTGGGTACAGATGCACTGCAACTTGCTGCTGGGTGAATATTCCGGCTGCTGTGAGATGATCACGGACATTTTCTTTCTTTTGGAGCCCATTGATTGCTGTTTTCTAGCCCAGAAAAAACTGTGGTACGCTTGCGCTCCTCCATCAAAACACTGGGGGAGAAAGGAAGCGGAAGGTCGTGACACTTGTGCACATCAAACGGAAACTAACTCGTACCGGTGTCCGCAGATTTCGAGCAGGGTTCGTGGTTCGGAGCCTGCTTGTGGTATTGGTCCATAGCAAACTTGTTCCGGAACTACACTGCTGTGTGGTGGCTTCTGATGACCGCTACTCTTCGCACGCTTCTCCTTGTCGTATTTTCCTGACGACACGATTGCCCGTTGCCCCATCCACTTCAAGACGCCGACCACAACGCATACTCGATATGCCGCCCCCCAATCCCCCCGCCCATGCCACTCTCCCGCGAGCTATGGTCAAAATCTTCGTTCGATGCCATGCTCAATGTTCATGCCGTGCTTTCCTTCCCTTCCGCCCAAGCAAGCAGCAACTCAAAACAGACCACACAAAACGTGCACCGACCCGACAAACACGCTGCTTTTTCTTTTACTCGCCTGCGCCAACATCTCCTCCGCAACGTTGATCCACGCGAAGCCCACGACATCGGTGACGAGGTCCAGCAGGAACTCGAGGGCGTGGTGGCTAAGCTTTCGCCGGCCGCTGCTGTAGCGGTGGAGCAGCAGGTGGCCTCCCGCGTGCAGGGCCAGGGCGTAGCACGCCACGCTCGAGAGCCGCACGTAGCCGCGGCTGTCTTCGTTCCCCGCGGTGGCCTCGAGGATGAGCCAAAACGCCTGCCGGTCGGATGTTTTTTTATCGCGTGTGGTGTTGCCTTCACATTAGAAAACCGTTCCGGGTCTCCGCTTAGTACATACCGTGAGTGTGGGACAAAGAGGTGGTCCGAAGCACATAGGGGCCGCACGTATACTAGAAGGCTCGAAGTATTTTGATTCTTGTACGCATAGCTGGGCAATGGATGTTGAACAAAATTTCAGACGCCCATTGGTCCAGGGGGCCAAAATACTCTATTCTGCCAAGCAGTGAGAGAAGTTGCTTGGGTATGCAGAGAGAACCCTGATTGGCGGAGGGATCCTCGATTCTTCGATCCATGCTCTCGGGGGCCTTGCCTGCATGGTACTGCTGTAGTCTACATGTCTACACGCTGCGGAGATTTTGAAAGCTATTTTGTACGTTGAGAATACGAATGAAAACGCTTGATACGCATGAGCCCTCGTGTCACTTGTTTCCTTGGTGATTTTATCAATCAGGTCAGAGGGCCAGTCTTGTCGCTCAAGCATGGGGGTAGCATTTGCTCAATTTTTCTCATTTTAGATCGCACAGCGCAGGCAACAGACGCAAGGACCTTCGCCGAAATACTCGGCAGTCGCGCAGAATCGCGCTCCGGACATGGAGAGAGCGGGCCTGCACACACACAAACACACCTGCGACCAAGCCAGAGCAACGAATATGTTGGGCCCTCGCTTCAGAAGACCCTTCAGGTAGAGCTTGGAGATCTTCAGGTGTCTCCTCCCTTTGGCGTACACCTCGTCCATGCTCGTCTCTCTCCGGGCAGGGTACCCGCCCAGCCGGACCTATAGCTGTACTGCTGTAGTCCAGAGCACCCGGTTTGTACTACTTGTAGAGCACCAGGGTATCAAAGGCAGACTACAGGTGGTCAAGTTGCAGGGGTTGAAAATAACCTTGTCTGTGTTCGATGGTAGCACGAATGGGAGTTGTGCGCAGTCTGACCAGAGTGCACCACGAGGAAGTAGCGTCGGCCCCGTTGGCCGCGCTGGTTGCAGGTCAATTTTGGATTGTAATGGAGTCTCCAAGTCTCCAAGCCTCGCAGGTTGCAGCTCACAAAGTTCCCCCCGCATTTTTAGCCGAAAGAGTGGTTCGTGTGTCGTTTCGGGGACGCATCTCTGGTTGCACCACATGAATCCTCCGCGCGCACAGGTAACCTCTCGATCCATCGAACACGAAGTGGTGATGATCAGATTGTGATGATATTCCAGGCCCCTCTCCTCTTCTATGTGTATGTCTGCGCGACACGCCTTTCGTAGGACATATAGACGGGGCTGACTGACTTTTCATGGAAAGAGAACCACGGGCTGCCCACAGCAGAGAGGACGACGAGCATATTTCCTTCTCTGTCGCTCTTCCTCACCTCTGAGTCGTGACCAAAGATCTTCTTTCGTCCTGTCCTCCATCTCCGCACGACAATCACAGGCCATCTCCACGAGAGTGCGCCCACCAAGACACCAGCGCACTATGTCCTCGACGCCCCCTCCCCCGCTTCCGCGAGACGACCCAGCGTCCGCAGCGCCGTGCAGTAATGCAGGGTGTTGGGAAGGGCCAGGCAAAATCACCACCGTAGTCAACGGGCTCACCTTCAGATCTACCTGGTGCAGCGGCAACCTTGCTCGGGTTGTCCTTCCTGCGGAACAGGGGGGAGTGGGTGGGGTGTATCAGCTGTGGACGGCTAGGTAAGGAAGCGGGCGTTTATTCCCAGCTGAGAAAGAGAGAGCGTCTACACCTTTGAGGGTGTTGGCATTTTTTTTGCAGTATGGGCGTGTGCCAGGAGAATGTGCCTGTTTGTGGACGCGTGCCCCTGGACATGTTCACTCCGAAGCAACTTCGTCATAATACTTACCAAGACTGGCCATTTGACCATATAAAGCGCAGTTGGACACACGCAAGGGAGGTTCAGTATCAAACTTTGGCGCCGCGAGCTTCCTGTGTGCTGAAGAGCAGATCCAATGGTTTCGTGTGCGCATAGGTCGCAGGAATGTGTAAGTGACGAAGCGAACGGTAGCACACACACCAGTAATGGCGGTATACCAACCATTAGAGCACAGCATCACACGCACAACGATCTCGTTAGCTCGTAAGCAGTGATGCCGAAGATCCCAAAACAGAATGACCAATGACGTGTATACACAACATCCGTTAACGTCGGCCCGGCGTGCGAGACAGGTTAGGCAGAACCGATACGATCGAGCAATAACTACGTGACATCGTTGGTGATTTTTTTATTGTTGTTCGCTATTGTTCGTGGTAATGGTAGGAGGAGTGAGAGAGAGTCGCGGCCCGTGTGCCGCAGGCATGATGCACCATAGAATACAGCGTATCCGTCAAGGTATAGTCCAAAACAAATCTGGAGTTTCCAGTGTTGATCTGGACTTTCCAGTGTTGTGTGCGAAGGCCCATCAAAAGGCTCAATAGCCTAGCCATCTGTAGCATTGGCTCTCTCGGGTTCGTATGCGCATTGATTGTCTCTCGAACCCTGACGTGACTGAGTTAGACGTAGTCGCGACACAGGGGCAAGGCAGAACGGCCTGACCACCGGGTTATAGCATATTTGTTACTTCATTACCAAGGGCTTTCAGATTTTCGCACGCCTAAGTCGGGCACATCGGTGTTTTTGCCCCCGTGCTACTTGGGCGCATTTCGCTTTTCCGATTGTGCGCACCCCTTGGCACCAACCACTAACTCCGTGGTATGTTTTGCTTCGTGAGACACAGGGATTGCGAGGGGGGGCCTAACGCCAGGCGTAACTCGAGCTGGTTCTACTATGGAGTGGCCGGTGGTTCAGCGAATCAGATAATCACCATGGTACGCCTGTGGAAACGTATAACTTTGACTTTGCCTGAAGGTTGCCCAACAAGAACGGTGGCCCCTGTGATTGTCGGTAGAGAGGCTACATTTTGGCAATGTGTCTCGAATCGCGGTATCAAAAGGATACACACATGTTGAGTTGTGACAGCAGCAGGCGTGAGAATCCTTAGTGAAGCGGAACTTCGAGGCGCTGCTGCTGTGCCGCTGATCTACCCTGCGTGTTGGTGTCTGCCCCATACCAGACATTGCCGAACCGCCATGCACCTGCTTCACGGGTTCCAAGTCTCGGCAACCGGTAATTTGGAGGGCTGAACACATTATGCTTTCCCCGATCGCTCCACAGCCGAACAACGGCTTGTTCTGATCTTCCTTCCCGTTCCATCCTGCATTCAACACCATCCTGCACGCACAGAGAATCATGAACTTGAACAACCAGAACGCTCTCTACAAGCACGGGATGACGCCGGTTTTCCGCATGTCGGGAAACCCAAACTGGGCCCGCCTCAAGCAGAAAGCTATCTTCGAGGTGAACGGCGTCCGTTTTTTGTTTCTGCTTTTCCTCTCTGCGAAAACAAACAAAAATAATTACTCCTCTCTTTCTGGTAGACAAAGTTCCAGGAAACGTTAGAGCGATAGGCTCATAGGCAACGTGTATGGCCTAATTGGGTGCCTTCTCACGGTTAATGGTTCGACAAGACCAGACACCCTCGAACGAGCGAGCAGGCGAGCGCCGCTAGGTACTGATCGGTTCATTGTACCCCGCTCGGCCGTCCACTTAAAGCTGCAAGCAAGGGCAACTCGAGCGCCCTGATGCCGTGTCTTCTGCTCTCCTCGCTACCAGGGTGGAAGGCAGAGCCGAAGCCGAACTCACGTTTACGCACGAAACGATCGTCCATCGTCTCCCTTTCCCCGCCCCGACTTTCTCTCCCTCTGTCCTTGCGTTCTCAGGAAGAGGGCAGGCACTTGCAGCTCCAATTTCAGTTCCGCTTTACCAGAGACTCGGAGGAGGTGCTGTTTGCCTTTTGTTTCCCCTACAGCTATGACGACTGCAACAAAGACCTCGAGTGCTGCGAAGACCAGGCATGTCTTGTCGCAATGTGTTATGTTCTCCCTTTGAAAAGTCGATTGTGATCATGCTTACTAACCGTGGACCAAGCGTGTCTTGAAGTCAACTGCGGCCGCCGAGGCTCGATTGATGCCGCCTTTTCCCCCCCGGTAGTTGGCCTGTGACCACGGAAGGCATCCGCTTCAGTTGGACCAGTACGGATATTATATAAGAAGTTGTTGAGCAGAGCAGGGAACGTCTTTTTATGTGAAGACGACAACATCAACAACACGGTTGCTGATCGGATTCCGGTCCGATTCGCCTCTTCAGTTAGCCTCCCCGCCGTGCTGCGAGCCTCTGTCCTTGCATGGCCACGTAAACGATCGTCTTTGGCGCCCTGTGTCCTTTCAGGCTAGACGAGACGGGATGGCGCTACAACCCTTGATGTCGCCGCGACCAGGCCCGACCGGCTACTTCCACCGGGAGCTGCTCATTCGGACCCCCGAGGGCAGGCGGGTCGATCTCCTCACGGTCACGGACTGCAACGGCATTTTGGTGGGTAGGGTCCTGGTGGTGTTGGGCGGTAGCTCGCGACCCGAGCTGCTAGTCTGAGCTCAGCCTCCTTCTCCGCGTTGCTCTCCATTTTGCTCTGAAAAATTGCCCCGCTAGCTGTGTTGTTGATGGGTCGTGCCATGACACGTAAGGTGACTGCCTCACGTGCCGTCGAGGCATGTGAATCACATTCCTCAGCTACTACATCAAGCGCGCGATCAACAATGTACGCAGCACGCGAAAAGGCGCGACTTTTATCCGGGTACTTTCCAACAATCAAGCGTTTCGTACTGGTAGAGAGAGAGAGAGAGAGAGAGAGAGGTGAGACAGAGAGAGACCGCGACATGTACGGATATGCAGAGATGAAGACCGCTTCGTCTTGGGCTGCTGCGTGTGTGTCTATTGGGTGGGTGGCTGGTTCGACCTTGCCTCCATTTTTTCTCGCGAGTGGCTGTAGACATAGATCCACAGGTGGGCATTCAATTGGTGGGCGCGGACCTCAAACCAACAACGCTGAACAGCTCAGGTTCTTCTCTTCCCCCTCCATAACTTCGGCAACGTGCACAACCCGCTCTGCTGTGTGATGGCGATACTGCGCTTATCCTACCCCACCCCCTCCCAGAATGAGCGCGAGCCCCAGATAGACCCCCACTTGTTTCCGGAGCACGCCCCCCCTTCGAGGTGCCGCCCTTTCGAGTTCGAGGGCAAGGACGTCGTTTTCGTGTCCGCGAGGGTTCATCCTGGAGAGACTCCAGCAAGCTTCGTCTTCCAGGGGATTCTGAGGTGAACAGGCCGCAGCCGGCCGGTCACCACTGCGACCCCCCCCCCC